AGTGAAATACAAATGATTTTTTAAACAGTACAATCTAGTAAAATAAATTCAACTAAACAAAAAATAAATCTTTAAAACAATATTATAAATGAAATACAATACGGCAGAATAAACAAAATAACGAATATAAAATATCAAATATAGAATGTATTTTACTGCGTTTACAGGAAATGCGCCCTCCTGTGGTGGAACTAGCGAAGTACAGCAAATCCAATACTGTACAGCATTAAACACAAAATAACTGACAGAAAAATCATATAATATAATCGCATATTATATAATGTATTTCACTATTTTGTAATATAATTTAAATGTTTTAATTATTATTACACTAATTAATTAATTGAAAAAAACAACGATTAAATATCAATCTATTCATTATAGTTTTGAATTAATTTAAGGAAATGATTTAGCATATAGTAAATTATAGTGAAATACAATGAAATAAAATAATCAAAAATATAATTATATATATATATATATATATATATATATATATATATATGTATGTGTATATATATATATATATATATATATATATATATATATATAGATATAGATATAGATAGAGAGAGAGAGAGAGAGAGAGAGAGAGAGAGAGAGAGAGCAAAATAGAAAATGCAAAATTCTAAACAAACTAAAATAAAAATAATAAATTTTGGGCCAGTGACGTCATCACAGTTACAGGAAATGCGCCCTCCTGTGGTCAAATTCCACAATCACAGCTAATTAACGCCAGTTCCACGTGTTTTAAACAATGTTCGACGATTACACTTGATCTCTCGACAACAGACAGATTAAAAAGAGCATTATCTGCTCATAACACTCATTTATAAGCTGCTGCTTTAAACCATCAACAAAAGATGCAAACCGGAACCGCAGATTCTCTCTATCAGTCACTTTAAAGCAAAGGTAAAAGCTGAGATGCACTCACCTGCTCCATTACAGTGTTGCGCATGCGCGACCTGCTGCCGTGTTTGATCACGTGACTCTACGTTTTACAAATTAAATCTATTTAATTTAAATAAGTGATTTTATGTAAATATTTTGCTTATTTTCAGTGTGACTGATTAATCTATTTAAAACACAACTGTGATCTTCCATCTCCCTGTGTTTGTATATTAATGTTCATCAGTGACGACATTTTCATAATGGATTCATACCAAGTCATACCTCACATTCAATTCATTTGTATATTATATTATATTGTATTATATTGTATTATATTATATTTTTATATAATATAATATTATGTTTTTTTCTGTCAGTTAGTGACTGTTTAATGCTGTTTTTGATTTGCTGTAAGTTACAGATTTCACCACAGGAGGGCGCATTACCTCTAAAATCACTAAAACACAAGGTCAATAGAATCTCTTCTATATTTAATTTTGTTTAATTCATTTTCTATATATTTTAAAATTGTGTTTTTTTTGTTATATATAACATTAATAATATATAAGCAATTATACAAACTGGAATACATTTAAGTGAATTGACAGGAAATGCAATTATAAGAAAATGAATTATAATGTAATATAGACCCCTGATATATAGGAACTAAGCTGAGGAAAAATGAAGGAATAATATAATATAATCCAATTGAATGAAAAGTCTTAAATATTTAATGGATCCTACACATCTAAACTAAACACAAAATATTGAAAAGGTATTTATAAATAAAATAGACTGCAATAATATAAGTAAAAATTACTAATTAAATACAAATATTAAATATTGAGTGAATTTTTGTGAATTTAGATTTTGGTCATTTTAGAAAAAAACGCAAATTATAGAAAATAAAATATTGCACAGCATTAAACACTGCATATCTGACAGAAATATAATAAAATATCATAATACAATATTACTAATGAATTGAATAATTCATATTATTAATAAATAATTATAAGATTACAATTAAAATGATTCTACTATTACAAAATAATATATAATAATATACTATGATAATACATAAAATACAAACTAATCAAAGTAACGTAATTAAATATATAGTGAATTCTAGTAAATTAAACTAAAATAGAATAAAAAATAAAATCATAAGATAACAGAACAGAATAAGCTAAATCTAATAAAATAAGAATAAAATATTCAATATAGTATGTAGTGGATGTAGAGGAAATGCGCCCTTCTGTGGTGAAATCCGCCAATTACAGAAGATCAAGAACTTCTCGGCAGTGGATATTAATAATAAAAAATGGTTTTGAAATAATTACGGTAGGAAATGTTACCATGCAACGTGATATTCACCTAATTATTTAATGATTTTTGCCATAAAATCGATAGTTTATATTTTAGCTTACTCATTAATTATAAATACAAAATATTACAATAACTTAAGCTGCATCAATTATTAAATTAAACGATTCAGTATTGAATGGATTTTAGAGAATTTAGAGAAAATGCGCCCTCCTGTGGTGAAATTCTGTACAGCTTTACACAAAATGCCTGACAGAAATACAACATCATTAATACAATACAAAAGAAAGAAAAATTATTAAATAATCCATTTTTGTAAACTAAATTAAAATAATCTAAAATAAGACACATTTTTTACATAAAACACAACAATAAAAGAATAAATCAGTTAATTCAACAAAACTGTTCAATACAGAATATTTTAGTGAATTTACAGGAAATGCGCCCTCCTGTGGTCAAATTCCACAATCACAGCTAATTAACGCCAGATCCACGTGTTTTAAACAATGTTCGACAATTAAACTTGATCTCTTCACATCAGACAGATTAAAAAGAGTATTGACTGCTCATACCTTTCATTAATAAGCTGCTGCTTTGAACCATCAACAAAACGATGCAAACCGGAGTTTGTATTCTCTCTATCAGTCACTTTAAAGCAAAGGTAAAAGCTGAGATGCACTCACCTGTCGTTCCAGTACTGCGCACGCGCGACCTGCTGCGTGTCTGATCACGTGACTCTGCGTTTTACAAAACAAAATATTTCATTTAAATATGTGATTTTATCTAAAAATTCTGTTTATTTCCAGTGCAACTGATTAATTTGACACATAATCGTGATTTTCCATCTCCCTGTCTTTGTATATTAATGTTCTTCAGTGATGACATTTTCATAATAGATTCATACCACACATTCAATTAATTTGTGTATTATATTATATATTTTATTATATTATATTATATTATATTATATTATATTATATTATATTATATTATATTATATTATATATTATATTATATTATATTATATTATATTATATTATATATTATATTATATTATGTTATATTATATATTATAATATATTGTATTATATTATATTATGTTATGTTATATTATATATTATGTTATATTATGTTATATTATATTATATTATATTATATTATATTTCTGTCAGTTACTTTGTGTTTAACGCTGTACAGTATTTGATTTGCTGTAATTTGCGCATGTCACCACAGGAGGGCTAAAAGTCATGCTATATTTCATATATTCTTATTTTACTGGATTTTGCTCATTCTGTTGTGTTCAATTTTACTTAGAAATACATTTTCTCTAAAATCACCCAAACAAAACTTCAATAAAATCTATTATGTTTCAATTATTTAATCAATTCCATAATTAAAGCTTAATCTACTATTTTCATTCATTCATTTTCTTTTCAGCTAAGTCCCTTTATTATTCTATTAATAAATTATTATACAAGGAATTATATAATGTACAATAAATTCAACTGAATTTACATAAAACGCAATTATAATATAATCAAATATAATATATAGACTCCTAATATATAAGAGACTAAGCTAAGGAAAAAATAATGAATGAATGTATGAATGAAAAATGTATTATAATACAAATTAATTTAATGCAAAGTGTTACATGTTTAGTGGATTCTTGTAATCCAAACTAAATAAAAAATAATGAAATTATATTTATAAATAAAATAGAATACAATAATATAAGCAAAATCAAATAATTGAATAAAAATATTAAATATTAAGTCAATTTTTGTCAATTTGTGTTTTACAAAATTTCTGCAATTCCAAAAAATTGTACAGTATTAAACACAAAATAACTGACAGAAAAAATATGTTTTATAATATAATATAAAATAATATAATAATAAAAATGTATTGAATGTGTTGAAATGTATTTGTGTTATATTATTGTATTAAAATTAAAATTAGTATAATATTATATAATTGTATTAATACAATATATTATTACATTATTTAATTTAAATAATTGAAGGAAATTTATTAAATATATACTAAATTTTAGTAAACTAAAGTTGAATAAAATAAAATAATCAAAATAAAATAAAAACAAAATACAAATAAAATACAACAAAATAAAATAAGCAAAATCCAATAAAATAAGAACAAAATCTTACATTTAGCATGTGGTGAAAATACTATGGTGAATGCAGAGGAAGCGCGCCCTCCTGTGGTGAAACTCGCGATTTACAGCTTATAAATACTGCACAGACTAAATACCTTACACTAGTTCTCAGCAACGGATGTTATAAAAATGGTTAAGAAATAATTACGGTAGGAAATTTACTAAATGTTTGCATGGAACCTGATCTTTACTGAATTATATCATGAGTTTTGCCATAAAGTCGAAAGTTTCTATAATCGATAGACTCATACGTCCTTTTGTGACTGCTTTTGTGCATCAGGGTCACATTTATGCAATTAATATGTTTTTATTTGAACCATAGTCTGTATATATGACATATGCTTAATGTATTTTGAACTACATAATAATAATAATAATTACTACAAAATTATTTTGAAGTCTCGCTGCTGGAGACCGTCAGTCTCACCAGCGCCTCCAGCGGCCAGGAGAAAACAAACGTGTTTTAATTAACAACGTTTAAACATATACGCTTATTTTAAACAATTTATTTCATGATAAAATTAATAAACCTTGTATACAACTGCTCACTCGCATAGATAAATGTGCAGATATTAATATTCGGCGAATTATTCAGGAAGTGACGTGTTCAGGCGCCCGTATGTAAGTGACGTGTCTCAATCCCGGAATTCAGCGCAGAAACTCTCCAGACGCGGACAGATTCAGCATAAACACTCAATAATCAACACTATAAATGTAAGTAATTGTATGTGTTTAACTGTAGCCTGTCAATGCATCAGTAACACGAGCAGTTTAAATGTGTTGTTTATATAACTCGTGTCGTTCAGTCACATCTGACAGATATGATGCTGCACTCGTTCATCCATTGATCAGTCTATTATGATGCTCATTAAAGTTCTTGAGTGCCATTATTGCCAAATAAGATGATTATAATACCTAATTGTGTGTTTCGTAGCATATTGTGGCGTTACAATTATTACAGTATTTCGCTGATTGATTACATGCGCGGAGACAGTCTGTATATCTCTATATAAACGCAAACATTACATTAAATTACATTGTGTGTGTAAATGTATGTATTTAAACCTGCGTCTGTGTGTGTAAATATGTGTAAAACGTCGTAATGTCACTCATGGAGTCGTTAGCATAAATAGGCCTCACTGAAGTTCATGTAATGTATGAATGTGATGTGCAATAGTGTAAGAGTAAAGGAAAGCAGCTTTACCGCAGTGCATTGAGGTTATTAAAGCTTCTTTGTGCTTCAGATGGTGACAGACGTGCAGCTTGCCATCTTTGCCAACATGCTGGGCGTCTCGCTCTTCCTGCTGGTGGTCCTCTACCATTATGTGGCTGTCAATAATCCCAAGAAACTGGAGTGAGGGGTGAGAAGTGAACACACACACTCATATACACACACACACACACACACACACACACACACACACACACACACACACACACACACACTCATATACACAGTCATACAGGCATAGAAAGAGATATGCACAGATATTCACACAGGCAAACACGCATGCACTCACAAACACAAACAGACACTCATACAGACAGACGCAGAGAATAACACACACACACAGAAAGAGCTTCATGGGTCTCCTCCTCATAACAGTGTGTTTTCTCCTCCTGCAGGGTGTGTGTGTGTGGAGCAGCGGAGGATCATCCAGATGTACATTTTGCCTTTTGTATGAAAACGATGTGAATAAAATGTCAGAGCGAGAGAGAGTCATCTTCTGCCTGTCAATAATGCAGCACTCGCTTCTTCTTTCAGAAACACGTACACATTTATTGCTTCTTAAACACACACACACACACACAACTCTGCATTTCACCATTAAACACGATGATCTCAGTATTTCACACTGAGTTTGGTCCATTATGATTCCACCACAATAAAATGTTCACCACAATCCTGCTCAGGAATAAATGTCCACAATCGCTTTACATCATTTTTAAATTACAAAACAAACCAAAGCAGCAGCAGCTCAGGTCACACGTTTAAAAGCGTTTCCTAAAAAAACACAACGTAATGCTATGGTTTTAGTGCGATGACAACTCGTTTTGTGTCTGTAAGTCTAAAACACAACACAACACATGATCCTCCACTTTTCGGCCAAATCCAACACTTCCCATCAGCAGCTTCTCAGGTCTGCAGAGATCTGGAAGGAAAGCATTCTTAATTAATTGAATACAAGTAAACTTTACTCATGCTACAAAGGTTATCATTACTTGTGCCTGAATGTTTTTTCACACGGTCACAGGCCTTAAACACATGCAGATAGCACACTGTTATGGCTAAACTCTGACTCTAACCAGCAGGATTGGCTAGCAGTTGAGTTGACACCAATCCTGGATTTTAGGTACCACTAAGGTAGCTTTGCTTTAATCCCTCATTGCACCCATAAACATTGCACATCTAACCTGCCCTGAGCCAAGATTGGTTCTGATTACGTTGCCGATTTGTTCAAGGTATGTTGTGGACATTTAGGACATGTTTGGGTTATGTCCAGAGAGGTACTGCACAAAAGCAAGATGAGGGATTTTCAAAGTAGCCCAGCTGAATTTAGCCTTGACTCAATTGTATGTAAGCAGGATAAATTAAGTTACTACTTAGATTTATTCTTTGCAAAACCATTAACAACCAGGCTAAGTTTAATCCTATTTTATTTATATGTTAGTTTTGTTTTCAATGCTACAAGAAATAAATGTGTTTTTCAGTCACTCCATGCTCTTGGCCATTTACATATGTTTTACAGCCATTAGAATTAAAGATAGGCATGTTGCATTGTGTTAGCAATAATTTTATATGTGTTCAGTATATGGCCATTTCAGATTTAAATATAGGAGAGATGTAAATAAGGGACATAATAGATAAATGACTAGAGAAAAAAATATTTATGTACATAGTAGAGCATAAATGAACCCCTCACAGACCAATCTCTTTTCAATTGACATTTTCTAAAGGATGCTAGACAATAATACGCGTGTGTGTGTGTGTGTGTGTGTGTTTACAGTATATACATTAGATAAGTCAGTACCAAAGATAAAACTGGAACTAAAACAAAAAAATTAATAAGTTTTTAATAAGCAATTAATAAGTCCAAAAATGAGAACACCAATATGTTAAGGGAAAATATTAGATAAAATCTTAATAAACAGGAATAATCAAGAGAAACATAAAATTTATCAAATTTAGTTGATATTTTGTAGTTTTCACATTATCTTTTGCAATAACTCACTTGAATCTAAATGGATAATCTTTCTATTCCTAAAGATGATGCGACCAAACTTCATTTCAATAAATATAACTGTTTGATAAAACTATATTCACTGAGACATGGATAAAAATATTCACTTTCAAAAGGGCTTCATCACTTATTCATGCTGTATAAGCGCATGTACAGTTGAAGTCAGAATTATTCGCCCCCTTTATTTTTTTTCCCCCAATTTCTGTGTAACGGAGAGCAGATTTTCTTCAACCCATTTCTAATCATAATAGTTTTAATAACTTATTGTCTAATAACTGATTTATTTTATCTTTGCCATGATGACAGTAAATAATATTAGACTAAATATTTTTCAAGACACTTCTATACAGCTTAAAGAGACATTTAAAGGCTTAACTAGGGTAATTAGGTTAACTAGGCTGGTTAGGGTAGTTGGGCAAGTTATTGTATAACGATTGTTTGTTCTTTAGATTATAAAAAATATAGCTGTTTAAAAAATTAAAAACTGGTTTTATTTTAGCCTAAATAAAACTAATAAAACTTTCTCCAGAAGAAAAAATATTATCAGACATACTGTGAACATTTCCTTGCTGCGTTATACATAATTTGGGAAATATTTAAAAAAAGGAACAAAAATCAAAGGATGACGAATAATTCTGACTTGAACTGCATATATGTGTATTAGCAAGAAAAAATCTAAATGAAAGCAATATATACGTGATCATATACTGTAGGTGGAGATTAAAGCTAGATCAAACTAAATAAACAGATAAAATAGATGTGCAATATTATGTTTGGAATAATCTACAAAACAAATTTTCTTAGTAGCATGAATGTCCACTAGTCACATTAAAGGCAAAGTGAACAACTGTCAATTGTTTAATACGCCTCCTCATGTCTTTCCATTAAATCTCTGCATGAAAGTAAAGAGAGTTCCCAGATTAGTCCAGATTGATGTGCAAGAGGGGCCATTTTCCAACTCATAACCTGATTGGCTCACAAGATTGTATCATACTTCAATCATTGATTCTGTGATCGATCTCATGGTCTGCTGTGAATGTGCACTTATCCTGGCTCTCTAACATAACGGCTCATTCTCATGCTGGATCAGAAAACGTGCAATGGACTAAGCCAGGAGGACCCGATTAAACTAGGTCAAGCTGCGCTTTTACTGTTATCCTGGCTTTCTTCATTCAACTTTTGTGCAATTGCAATACCCCTCAAGTTTTCTTCAAGGTATGTACAGTTTATATTCAGGATATGCTCAAGATTGTGTTTAGTAAATGTTCAGGTTATGTTGTGGATATGTTCAGGATCTGTTTAGGATGTGTTCTGCTTACGTTCAGGGTATGTAGGTCATGTTGTGTGTTACCTGTGTATGTGCTGATCTGTCTGTCTGCTGGAGTTCTTCAGCAGAGCTTTAGTTGACAGACGGTCTTTACCAGAAACTCCTGAAAACAGCACATCCACGAGTTAAACACATCCAGCAATCATGCGAGGGATAATGTACAATAAATGTGCGCTAGCAGCATACACATGGCACATTTAGATTTCATGGACGCTTTAAGCTTCAGTCCAGTAAGTGCTCGTCTTGAAATGGTACAAGCAGCATCACAGTTATGTTTACAGTATAAAAATCAATACAGATTCAACAGCACAAACACAATGTTTGTACACTTACACACTTCATTTTAGTAAACAGTTTACACTGTCCATCAGACAGAAGGTGTATGTCAGAATGCATGTGCGTCTGAGTGTAAGAGTGTGTGAGTTAGTGTGTTTGTGAGAGAGTATGTCTGAGTGTAAGAGTGAGTGAGTGAGTGTGTGTATGCGTTTGGGTGCATGTGTGTGAGTCTGACCTGCCAGGTGTTTTTTGAGGCCAGGTTTGATCAGTTTCCACACTCTCATGGTTGGTGTTTCTGTGCTGCTGAGAGGAATGACAGAAGACTGAAGCTCTCTCCTCACAGGGATACGGCTGGGCCGCGGCTGAAGCTCACATCTGACATTTAACACATCAACATGTGCAACTGTTAAACACTGCTTTGACATTTATGACATTTGCAATTCAACCCTTTTTAGCAGACACTTTTATTCAAGGAGATTTACATGTAAGGACAAAAGAAACACTCCTATCATCAGAGACTAGCTGTATTTAAATGCTATGACAAGTCTAAGTTACTAAGACTACAAGTCTAACTTTTATTTATTCAGTTAATTAGTTTTAACGTTTTATATTTTATTATGTAACTGTATGATATACGATATGAAACTTACACTATTGAAGGCAGAGTTCACCCAAAATTTCAGGTAATTTACTCAAACCTTCTGTTAAACACAAAGGAAGAAATGCTGATGAATGTTGGGAACAAAAGCAGCCACTGAAATGCACAGTATGATTTGTTCCTACTATGAATGTTAATGGCAGCTGTTTTTACACCAGCATTTATCTAAATATCTCGTTTTGTGTTCAACAGATAAAATAAAGTTTTGTCAGATTTGAGATACCACAGATGATTTGAGATGTCTTTGACAATACAAGCATGAGCTGGAAACAAAGAGACAATCGGCTCCACACCAGACCAGGTGGGAATGCGAGAACGTTTACTCCTTTTCTTCATTTACATTTGAAGCATCCCCCTGCACACTCACTCTCCTCTTCACTCAACTCACACAGAATGGTCATTTCAAAGTATGAATGTTCTGTATCAACCCAAGTGACTTTATCTATCATGTTTGACATCATTTGAAATGTCTCAGTGCGACTGGTACAATGATCTCATTCCCTCAGAAATAGACATAGTCAAAATAATAGATGTACAACTTCAGGTATCTGTTGATCCACTGCGAAAGGTGTGCCTTTCCCTAGGGGGCTTCTATTCAAATGACAATATGCTCGCTATAGGCAGAAACTCTTCAGATCTAACATGCCAATAAATGCAAACGCCATTTGTTGTTTCACACATAACCCTCCTTGAAGGAAATCCTTGATTTGACTACTTAAAGGACAGTTTCAAAATTTTCTGGGCGATTCTGTAACCAGATCAGCCCATAGGGTGGAGCTCTCATGCTACATACTATGTATATTTTGAAGACAGGTATGCATCTTTTGGTCTTAGATTTATCTTTAAGAATTTGATGTCTTGTATTGATCATTTATGAATTGACATAAAACACATTACCTGACTATTACATTGTTATGTTTTAAATTATTCAAACAGAGTTGGTGTTATTATCTCTAGTAGATTACATTAAGTCCATAACACCACAAGCCCCTGTACAGGTTAGTACCGGACTAATACATGATAAATGGAGCAGCGTGGCACGCTATACCATGTTCTTAGAGCTTCGACTAACACACTGGCAACAATTCAAGTTTACTCAGACTGTAAAAGGCCAATCTAAATGTGGGTAGGCCTTCATCTTTAAACTTCAGTACTATTTAAATCATGTGGCAATTACTCAAAGTTACTGATAGTTTAAGTAAATTGGTCTGCTTGATTCTATAGTAATGATCATAGTATGATT